AGGTTATTTTTGCAATTGACCAAAATATTGACTTTCGAAGCAGACTTCTGCTATGCGCAGACTTCTTTAGAAGTCTGCTTGTAGGTCAGATTTGCATTTGACCGAATCTTAATTAATTTAATAGCAGATTTCTAAAGAAGTCTGCTATTTTTTTTTGGTAGCAGACTTCTTTTGAAGTCTGCTATAAAAGTCAAAAGTTGTCAAAATCTTGGTCAATTGCAAAAATCTTGGTCTGCTATAAAAGTCAAAGATCGACAATTTTTTTGGTCAAATGCAAAACTAACTTTTTCTTCTCGCAGACTGCAAAAGAAGTCTACATGATTTTTTTTGTTTACAAAGGACAATTCGCAGACTTCATTTTGAAGTCTGCTTACAAAAATATGAAAAAAGTCAATTGCAAATCTAACCTTTGCGTTGACTAGCAGACTGAAAAAGAAGTCTGCTTTCGCGAAACAGAGTTAAATGTTAAAGAAAATGAAGTAGATGTTTACTTACTTCCAATTTAAACTCGATTAACTTTGACATACACCCAGAATTTTGTATAGCACCGATAGCAAACTAGCTAAGTCGTTGTTATGCAAGAATCTCCAAAAATAGATGATTTATGAAATTGAAAATTATGAAAAAGAGCATGAAAGAGTTTTTTAGATGAAATTGGAGAGAAATTTGTAGGTAAAATGAAGTTATAAGCGACACAATAAGCATTTAGAGCTTCAAAATTGGTTGGACAAACATTTAGAGCTTCAAAATTGGTTGGTAATGGAGGTTGGCAAAATTGAAGAAGATGGCATTTTCGTAAATAAGTGATATATTTTAGGATGGTTGTGTATTTTTGGTATTTTTCAGAAAAAATAAAAATTAAATATAATGGCATTTTCGTGAATATATGTGGTTGTGAAGAGATAGTAGGAAGAAAATGGCATTTGTTGAAGAGGGAGAAAAAAGAGGTTATTTTTGCATTTGACTTCAAATTGTAGGTCATATGTGCAAGTATCCCTTAAAATAATGGTAATTGACCTATGTGAAAAATGAGAGTAAGTTTAGAAGATTGTCATGGGGTCAGTAAACTGATCATGCAAAAATTAAAGGGGTCAATAAACTGATTTTACAATAGTTTACCAAGTTTTTTCTTCAAATTATAAGTAAATATTTTGGTAACAAAAATCCACATGGGTCATTTGACCCTTCTCCCAAAGAACTACCTCGCCACTGGTTTAATATATATATATATATATATATATATATATATATACCAAAAGAATGAGAAAATAATTGAGTTATTATTTTGACCCACAAAAAAAGAGAGTTTCGGGTTATTGAAAAAAAGTCATTTTATTGTGTTATTAAAACTTTCATGTATTGTATGTGTTTTTTCACTTATCTAACAACAGTTTTTAATAAAGTGTTATTCCATTCATCCATTGTATATATTCAATATGTATCGGTTTTCCTAACTATTTTTTGAAAAATCGCTTCCGCTTCGTTTTGTTTAATCTATTTTTTGATTCCACGCAACCTGAGTGGGCACTATCCCAAAATGTTTTGGACCCATAACTAGGTCGCGTTTAGAAAATCATAATGTAGTGACACGATTTAGAATGTTTTAAACACAAACCTTCTAGTTATATAGAACAACGGTAGATGAACAATTTATACTATTAAAACAGATGGACTTTTCATCTCTGCATGATGCATCCAAACATATATATATATATATATTTTTAGTCTTTGCATCCAAACATTCTTTATTTTTTGAAAAAAAGTTTTAAAATTAATCCAATTTGGTGTAAATATTAAATTAAAATATATTTTTACATTTAAATTTAAAATCAAAAATATAGATATGAATTTGATTATCTTGGGTTTCTTTAAAAATATAGGTTAGATATTTAGATCAAATCACAAAAGTTATTTGTTATTTTATATTTGCAAAAATAAAAACTAAATATTACTTTAGATTTAATTTACATATTCTAATTTAAATAATATTTTCATAATAGCGTAATTAATAAATAAATAAGTTATTCAGTCTAAAATTTCAAATATTAAAATTTAGTAGATATTAATATTATAATATAATATGTGATAGAGCGGGTTAGAGTTATGTTTTATAATTATGTTTTATGTGTATTAGTTTGTCAAAAACATGCAAAATAGTAAACTGATTTGAAGCACTCAAAAAGAAGAATTAGCTCATTTTAACACTCATAAATATATAAATTAGTTATATATAGTTTATAATTAATATTATGTTGATTGTACTTAAATAACTCATATTCTTATTCTACTAATATACAAATCTATAGTATTAGATGATAACAAAATTTTTGATTTGTAAAAAGTTAGATTTACAAAAATTAATTATATATAAACATAAAAATAAATATAACGATATTATAAAGAGATATTTACACTTAAAGGCACTTTTTATAACTCATATTACATCAAAAGATACTTCTAGCTATTGAGTAACTTTCTCCAATATTTGTCCTATTTTTTTCCCATTCAGCCCCTCAGTTAAAAAACAAAGTTACTAATTCTCTTTCCTAATGCTCTCTATCACGTGCTCTTTCTTCTTCACCAACTATGCTTCTCCTTTTCTGACAGATTACAATAATTTAGAATCTGCAACTAAATCGATCTTTCTCACCCTCAAAATACAACCATTTTTTTTATTCCCTTTTCAATTTTGGATTTTATCCTTTAAGATTCTCTCCCTTTTATATACAAACCATACCAAATTACTCTAATTCTCTCAAGTCAGAGGGAAGATTTTTGAAGCAAGCCACGATGTTCATACGCCATGTCAGATCGTGAGTTTTTATCATCTCTATCCTCTTCAATTTTTTCGTGATGAAGTTGAATCTCACCACCAGAATCATCTCCGTCGTTTTTGCCCGTTTTTTCTTTTAGACATTTTCCTGGTGTTTGGTTTGAGAATAAAAAAGATACCAAACTATAGTGTCGGTGAAGATGGTCAACATCTCGTGGATATTGCCTACATGGATGCAGTCTAAGCAGTCGTAATTTAAAATAGACAAAGCAAAGTGGCTATAAGATGGACAGGTATACGTGGATATGGTTTATGAAGTGGATCGTTATGGATATCATCTACTCCTCTTGTCACCATTCTATGTACCCTCTGCTGTGGATACTCTTGAACACATTTCGGTTTCTACAAAAATGTTGGATACCGTTTTTGTTAACTAGCCAGTCCTCAGTCATGAATCTTTATCAAGTGGATATGTGTTTGTGGATACACGCCTGTCACTCCTTTCCATATGGATACGTCAACGTGGACACCCCATACATAAGCCTCCTTTCTATAAAAACGAATCCTTATCAAAGATAGTAACATCTGGTTATGGACATCGATAGTTGGATACGGTATTCATTGAAGGAAAAGTGCCTCAAATAGCTGGACACACTTTTGTGGACACAAATACGTGGATACTCTTGTACTACGACATCAGCAATAAACGTTGTCGCCTCTGTGGATACTCGCTATACGTTGGGACATCAATATCTGGACACAGTTATGTGGACACTCTTATGTGGATACTCTTGTACTACGACATCAGCATTCAACATTGTCGTCTCCGTATCGAATTCCTCATTCAATTCAGGATTTGGAATAGAACGACACATTTAGACACAAAAACAAATTGAACCGATACTTTTCCTGGATTAAATTGTCACATTGCATGTGGATACCAGTATACCACACATATGAATGCAACTGAAGTAGTTCTTTAGTGGATACAACCCCCGTGGATACTTGTGATTTCACCCCGTGGATACTTGTGATTTCATTGTTCTTGCATTGGACGCCATAGTTAGAAGGTGGAAGCGTCTCTTATTGGATTCGAGATAGTTGGCTTCAAACATGGAGCTTAGTATCCCATTCGAGATTAGCCTCATATGTTGCAAGAAAAAAAAATCCAAACCCAATTACCAAAAAACATAAAACCCTAATATACATCAACCCAGATTCTCTAAATCCCAACCAATCAAAGTGAAAGGGGTATGATTAGTTAGAATGCGAAGTAAAAAGGGTATGAGTGAAAGAATATTTTTTTTGGGGTTTACCTACAATATTGGAAAGAAAATTGCAGGAGCGATTAGTTTTAGAGATCTGTACATATCTGCATTGACAAAGAAGAAGATCTGTTTCTTCCACAGTGATAAACAATGACGATTTTAATTTTGGTAGGAGATCTGTTTTGCTTCCATTCAAAGGGGTCGCTCACAGATCGAAAGATTCTCCGTCTTCTAATTATCTAATTTTCTATTCTGGCTATTTTACTTCTCTGCCTATTTTTTACTTCTTTGGCTATTTTTTTTACTTCATAAAGTCGGTGAAAATGATTTTAAAAAGTTGTAAATAGGTATCATTAAGAGGGACAATATGGTCCTCACACATTGAAAAAGTCACTAAATAGCAACAAGTGCCTATCTTGTTATAATAACTCATGAAAGTGCCTTTTACCGTAAATCACTCTATTATAAAAGCTGATTAAAAAAAATTTTCGTGCATCTGCACATGTTTAAAATCTAGTTTTATAGAGATAAAGGTCATAAGTTTGATGTAATTACATAAAAAATGTAAAATAATGGTGAGATCATCGTATGTAGTACGTATATATAGTATGTATACGTATCATTATCCCTATAGTTTATAAACCATATACTTAATAGATGTCATGTTCAAGTTTGGCTTGGTGTAAATCCCAAACATAGTATATTCAGGTTGTGAAAACCAATAAATTACCATTTTATTTGTAAGAAATAGCAATTAAAGTTTGTTGTCTTAGTAACCATAAGGAAAGTCATAACTAATTAGAGTTAGCATCCGAGGTAACAAATATTGTTCAAAAAAGATATTTTTAGAAGTTCAACAAATCTAAACAAGACATATATATATACACACACGCATGTCTTAAAATTTGCAAAACCAAAAGCACCTCTCGGGGAGAAAAGTAAAGAAGTTAAATAAGACAATGAAGCTTCAAATGTTATGCCTCGCTTTGGTTTTACTAGCCGTTGAAACTAATGCAATTAAGCAAGGAAAGAATGTAACAATCCCAGCACTTTTAGTGTTCGGAGATTCAATAATGGATACAGGTAACAACAATAATCTCCCAACTCTTCTAAAATGCAACTTCCCTCCCTACGGCAAAGACTTTCCCAATGGCTTCGCTAGTGGAAGATTTTCTGATGGAAGAGTTCCCTCTGATCTCATCGGTAAATTTTTTGAAGTCTTTAGTTTATTTTTTACATTTGTTAATATAAAATATTTTATTTTGTATCGTGACACATTTGTTTTAATCAAATTCTTTCAGCGGAAAAGTTGGGATTAGCTAAGACATTACCAGCATATCTGAACCGGAATTTAAAGCCGGATGATCTTCTTAAAGGTGTAACGTTTGCATCTGGAGGAACTGGTTATGATCCATTAACGGCTAAGATTATGGTATATTATTCTTCATTAATGTTAGCTTTATATTAAGTGATATATTTTATTTTGATTCTTTAACAAAAAAATATAGTTATATATATAATAAGTACCACATATATGCCGGTTTGTAATTTATATTTTGTAGCCCGTGAAAAAAAAAGAATACACAAGTAGTATAAAAAAATTAGTAATTTTTTTATTGTGAATTTAAAAAACTATATATCAACCTAGTTTTATAAAGGTAAAAAAATTAAAATTCTTTTTTTTGAGGTTTCTATTCTATTTTGTAATTTTCTTAATCTAAACTAAATAGTAATTATTATTCTTATTTGTTTTTCATTTTAGATTTTTAAAAATTCTAATATATTTTTTAATATCCTTATGCTAACCTGAAATAAATAGTTTTTCTTCTTTGGTTATAAACTGTGGTTTTATTCATTTTTTCATAATTTTTATCCTTTTTATTTTTTAGGATTAAGAATCAACTATACATTTTTTTTATCAACTATGGTTTTATTCTTTTTTATCGATTGTTTTTTCCTTAATCCAACCATAATTTTTATCCCCTTTACTTTTTAGGATTAAGAATTAACTATAAATTTTTTTCTAATAAAATTTCTTAAAATATAATTAAAAATTACTTAAACATATCTCAAAATCTGATATTTTTCACAATCTAGCTAGTTACTAACTTTGAATCATTTTTATTTTGTTTTATGCAGTCGGTGATATCAGTGTGGGATCAACTAACATATTTCAAAGAATATATATCAAAGATCAAACAACACTTTGGAGAAGAAAGAGCTCAAAATATCTTGGATCATAGTTTTTTTCTCGTGGTTTCTAGTAGCAATGACCTTGCTCACACTTATTTAGCTCAATCCCATAGATATGATCGTAAGTCATATGCCAATTTTTTGGCTGACTCAGCAGTCAAATTCGTAAGAGTAAGTATTTTAAATATATGTTTATACAGATATAAATCAAACTATGATAGAGTTTAAACTAACACAAATCATTTTCTATATAATATTTAGGAATTGCATAAGCTTGGAGCACGAAAAATTGGAGTGTTTAGTGCAGTGCCTGTTGGATGTGTTCCACTTCAAAGAACAGTGTTTGGAGGTATGCTAACAAGAGGATGTAATAGACCTTTAAACTACATGGCAAAACAATTCAACGCAAGGCTTTCTCCGGCACTTGAATCTTTAGATAAAGAGTTGGATGGTCTTATCCTCTACATTGATGTTTATGATACTCTTTTCGACATGATTCAACACCCTAAAAAATACGGTAAGTATATCTAATATATATGTATGTATATATATTTCATTTGTACTATGAACTAAATTATGAGCAAATTAACACACCATGTTTCAGGTTTTGAGGTAGCTGATAGAGGATGTTGCGGTAGTGGCGCTCTCGCAGTATCTTATATGTGTAACATATTGAATCCATTCACATGCTCTAATTCTTCGGCCTATGTATTTTGGGATAGCTACCACCCCACTGAAAGAGCTTATCAAGTGATTGTTGACAACTTGCTTGACAAATATTTAAGCAAAGTCTTTTGATGTTAATCATCTAAATCAAACTTATTTATATCTTCGTGTTTCTCCATCTAATTCTTGTCTCTATGGAATAATTCTTTCAATTTTCAATGTATTCATTAAATTATTAAATATAAGACTCATTGATTAGAATGAACATGTTACTGAACGAATATTGTTTGATATCCAAGAGTCACATAGAAACAAATCGGATTACTTAATATTGAATTGATATCTATCTAGTCCATGTGGGATGATTTTATTTGCAGTTTATTTTGACATGAATCATAAAATCACATAAGAAGGCACATATATCCATGGGAGAACTCATAGTTCATAAGAAAGAATCAATTCTAGTAAAAGTAACAATGATAATTTACTCAATACATACAACTTGAGATATAGTTGGACTTCTTGGAGGAGAATAGTGAACAACTTGAGTTGAATTTCGTCTCATAGATCAAACTATTAATCCTCTTGAGTCATGAGACAGTAGAACAAAAATTTGGTTTTTTTGCCTGATTTCTAGAAAAATGCACTCATAATAGTAATCGTTTGATGACATCTTGTACCAACCTGTAAATCTCTCTAAAGCAAAAAAAAAATCATTCATTCCATGACTATGATTCTAAAACCATCACCATGTGTTCAACAATTGGAAACCAGTTTATTGCATCTCTATCTCTCTATAACTCTTCGACTGTTTCTAAAATCTCCAAAGTCTGTGTCTTTACCATCACTATGCCCATGCCGACTTACTCCTCCTCTTCCTCCTCTGTTAGATCCCCTGAAATTCCCTGAACCGCGTCCTCGGCTGCTCTTTCTATCAAACTCATCATCAAAACCGCCTCTTCTGCTTCCCATTCTTCCCCCAAATCCACCACTATCTTCTCTGTTCCCTCTTGATCTACTAGCTGAGGAACTTGACCCTCTGTAATCTTCACCATCACTATCAAAACCATTCCTTCTGCTTCCTGTTCTTCCTCCCCTCCCTCTTGATTTATTAGCCGAGAAGCCACTTGATTCCTTGTAGCCATCAGATGCATTATAGTCATTATAACCACCCCGTCCACCTCTCATTCTTCCTCGATTCCCTCTCGATCTATTACCAGAGAAACTCGACCCTCTGTAATCTTGCTCATCCATGTCGTCATCAGATTCTGATGCTGAATAGGAGCTTTGTTTACCCTTAAACCCTCCTCTTGCACCGTTGTTTCTTTGGCCACGCTTTAAACTGGACCTGGGACCATCGTCCTCCAGATCAGACGCGAGCCCGAACTCATCATCCGACCCAAAACTCAGTTTTTTTGAAGGTGGACCTCTCTGTGTCGCAGCAACGTGGCTTGATTTCCACCTAGGAGTGACGGAAACCTCATCATCCGAACTGAAACCGAGCTCATCATCCCTAGAGAAACCTCCCCTATTATTTCCATGTTTGTTTCTACTGTTGTGAAGCCTTGAACCCTCTCTTCTATATGCATTGAAACCAGCCTTTGACTCCGGGAACTGTTCATCCTCTGAGAACTCTTCAGAAGCAAAAGAAGATCGAGCTCCTACTGGGACCTCTCTATCTCCAGTTTCGTCTATCTCATAGCTATCAATGTCATCTTCGTCGTCAAAATCATCAAACCCAACACCAGGTTTTCTGCTCCTGCCAGGCTCAGAACTTTCTCTGACTCCTGGAGGAAGATTACCAAATTCTTCTTCAGGATCTCTCAAACCATCCTGCGGAAGGTTTCCATTCTTTCTGCTGGAATCCGCATATTCAAAAGCAGCCACTTCTGCCCCGTCTGATTCATCGTCATCAAAATCAAAGTTCCAGGCATTGAAAACATCATCCCGTTTCACAACCCTCTCTGTTTGTGATTCAGTAAAGCGATGTGTTTCTTGTGTTTTGTTCTCTAAGAAAGCATCCGGTGGACGCTTGCAATCACAATGAAAACATGCCATGTTTCTCCTATAGTTCAAGAAGTTGCATCTGCCATAACAATAAGCAATATGATCAATTCCATGACATTATAATATTTGTCAGTATGTGTCTTTTTCTCAGATACAATACAACCCCAAGGGCGTAGCAACTTACTCGGGGCATTCCCATTCTCCCGGAAGGAGCTGTCTCTTTGGCCTCTTTGCATCACACTGTAAGCAAATGGTGTTCTTTGCAAAGTTCATGAAATCGCACCTAAGAACAAAAAATAAGTGGTACAAGTATCAAAATTAGAACATAAAAGTAAACATGCGCTTAGTGTGCCGAAATCTATGTTCTGTGGAAAATTTATGATTTGTGAAGCCTCAAAGTCCTAAATTGTATAATATAAGTGGTAACGCTAATAGGATATACCGAAACTGATCCTTAATGTGAAACTCATTATACCAAACCTAAAACTAATAAGTAATCGGTTTGGAAGCCTTAAGATTAAATGTAGAAGATTTATAGATCTCACCTAGCTTCATCTATTATTACTGATGTGCATTGTCGCGTTGAAATCAGGACACATTCTACGATTGACACGAACTCATAAGACTCTTTCTTAGTTCAAGCTAATAAGTAGAACAGGGACAACTGGCCAAAACATGAGGACTTCACGCTTCTATACAAAGCTAAGGCCATGCTTACAGAGGCTTAAAAAGAATTAGACGAGGTCATTAAAAGAGCAAGGTGTGACTTACTTTGGGCACAGCCAATCTCCTTTCTTCATCTCAATGTCATCACGGCCAACCCGTCTTTTAGGAGGTGGCGGGGGCTGCTTGGCTTTAGGGGGCGCTTTCTTGATAACTGGTGGAGTAAGATTAGGATCTATTGGTACGCTACTTAGCTTGACAATCTCATGCAGCAGTTTACGCACCACGGTCTTCACAGACTTTTTCTTCAGGAGAGTTTTGTTGGCCACTGTTCCGCTCAATGGGTCAAAACCATAGGTGAACAAAATGCGCATGAGGTCAAGGGTTCGAGCCTCATCCTCTTTGTTTGTCAACAAAAACGCCTTTTCGCACGAGTTCCTCAAGCTGCAGGAACTGCAGACCTGATATATGAATGAACGTTATCATCTGAAGAACCTATTGATAGTAAATCAATTAAGAAATTAACCATAAATCTCAAATGGAAGAAAACAGTTAGGTTAGCAAAGGAGACTTCATGAAACCTAAAAAATCGAATAGCCACAACCCAATCCTCTAGCTAAAAATAAAAGAAAATGTGTTACAATCGGAACCTGAATTCGATTAAAATGTAAAATGTAGACACAGTAACCAAACCCCACAAAAGAACTAAAGAGACCTGGAGGTTTCTAGTAGATATCACCGAAGTCTCCTAAACCCTAAGCTACAACACAACCAATGAGCCAAAGACTAGGTCTCTCTGTTCCTCCTTTCTCCTATTTGTTCTATTCCTTATCATTCATCCATACGTATCAAACATCTCACATTCTAGTCCCTATCAAAATCTTAATGTAAGAGATCCTCCCTAAACACAAATCAGTGAGATTGAAATGGCATTGATAGCTAATGATAGAAATTACGAAACCACACACCACACAAGTTCATACAAAAGCTAGTCGATTTCAGTATAAATAACTTATAAAAACTTTTGCTTACATCTCCTTCATCGAGATGGACACGCTTCCTCAATAGTTTCCCCGAGAAAACCACTTTTCTATCGGTCGCTGGACATCCATGGCCGACAAGGATTTGAATGTCATTTCTCGACAATGACCTGATGAAAAAATAATCATATAAGCAGACCTCAAAGCAAAAACAAAGACCAGTTGAGATAAGGTTTCAATTTCGACTTAAAAATAACTTGATAACTAGTTGTTCAAATGCAATGCATATAGCTTGATAATACACCACGCAGTATAAAGTTGATCTTAGACGAACAAAATTATAGACCACATCACAGTCAAAGAGGCTAAAAATCGATTCTGGTCTGATCAAACTCAATAAAAATGTAAACTTTATTTGATTGAGAAGCTGAAACAAACCTCAGAATATCGAAACGGTCTTTTCCGAAATTGATACAAGCGTTTTGAACAGCTCTGAAATCCTGAAACAATGCAACTCCAGAATTTTCTTCACCACCTAATCCCACATTAGATGACGATACATCGATCCCCAAACTCTGCACCATCTCGTCTTCTTCGTCTCGTTGCCTCCTATGATCAAAGTAATTCTGCTTCACCAACCTCTCCATAAGCTCCATCCACTCAGGCCATGGATGCACCAGCTCAACCACATCTTTACTCAACTCGCCAGAGCTGAGCTGAGTCGACTCAGCCGCGCGAGAGTCCGGTTCCTCATTAGCCACGGTGGATTCACGTTCTCCAGGTTGAGCAGAAGAAGGTGTTGGCTGATTTGATTGTTTGGATTGGCGCCAGGCACGGATACGCTCGAGGGTTTCGTCTTGCTCAGAGTGACGTTTCTCGATAGCATCGATTTGATCGAATACGAAGCTAAGGCGAGAAGAGAGAGATGAAGCTTTGTGATTTTGATCAGGGGAAAGGTTAGAGTTGTTGCTCTGTGTGGAAGTAGAGAGTGATTTTCTGAGAAATGGTTGGAAAAGGCGGCGGCTTTTAGGTTTTATGTGGAAGAGAAAGATGCGTTTGATGAGGAGAAGAGAGATTGAATGAGCCATTGTAGAGGAAGGGACATAGAAAAGGAATTCAGAGAATGATGAGGGTTGCAGAATCAGCCATTGTAATGGTTTCTTAGGAAAAAGGGTTTATGCCCCTATCTCTCTCTATTGTTAACTTAAACCCATCAAAAGAGTCGCATTTTCTCAGAGACTCAGGCTGTCTCAGATTTTCGGTTTGATTCGGTTTAAACACATTTTTTCAGTCTAATTTAATTGGAAAAATCACACATTTCCCCTCATAAATATCATATAGTTGATAGATTTGTTTAAACATTCAATTTCAACTTAAATTCACCTCACTGAAAAATAAAAAAGTATTTCTTCCAATTAGAAAATTCAAAACATCTTTACACATAAACATTAGTTTGAACGGTTTTGTAATCTAAACTTAATAACAAATTACTTATACGGATAGTAAATCGAATAAAAAACCCTCAGTGAACTTGTGTTCAACTTGTGAACAGCGACATTCAGGTGGATTTCGGATGCAAACTCTATGGCGCACCAGAGACAGTGACGCACGTCCTCCGTGATTGTCAGTTCGCTCGTAATGTATGGCTCCAAACTCCAATCGGCTCCCAAGCTCACATCCATACAGTCCAGATACCTGATTTTCTTACCCAAGCAGCCTCCCTTGTAAGCCTCCCCCTGACTGGACTCCACGCAGCTTCATTACAGTCGTGGATATGTTGGCACCTCTGGACTGCGCGCAATAACAGAGTCTTCTCAGACAGAGTTTTTACAGAACAAGAGGTAATAAACAAGTTGTTTGACGATCCTCTAGCTGAACTGGTTGCTTTGAAGCAAGATAATGATTCTGTTGAAGTGTATTTGGAAAACTTTGAGACTGCTTCTTCAGGGATCCCACTATCTGAGGCTCACGCTATGAGTATATTTCTCTCTAATATGGCTCCACACTTGTCACTATATACTCCCCAGTTCACAGTGACTAACGTGTGTGAGACAGCTCAGATTGCTCAACTCCACGAGTCTTCCCTCCTTTGTACTCCAGTAAAGGCGTCAAGAGCTTCCTTCAATCCACACTACCAAAAGTCTCACTCCCATCAGTTCTACAAGACCCCTGACTCCCTAACCCACCTGAGGCGCAGAAAGCTTTCGCCTACAAACCTGATTACGCCCAGAAATCTCCATCAAAGTCCACCACTTGGTCTTACAACGAGATGCAGGAGAGAATAAATAAAAGTCTTTGTATGTTTTGTGAGGAGCCCTTTACTCCGGGTCATCACCTCAAACATAAGAAAGCTTCCATGATGGATGGCGATGATGAGGACTTCTTAGAGGATGAAGAGGATTCAGATTAAATACAGGGAGTGGATGATACATTTGAAAAGACACCTGTAATTTCAGTCCACGCTCTCAGTGGCACTTCTATTTTCTACTGTATGTGTGTCGTCGGCGAGTATGGTAAACGGAAAATCCATATCCTGGTTGATCCCGGTAGTACTCATAATTTTTTGGATATTGCCGTTACCAAAGAACTCGGTTGTCTATTGGAACAGATCAAGCCTATGACAGTTGCAGCAGCCAACGGTAACCGCCTTCTCACCAGCTTTAAGTGCACTGACTTTACCAATGGTACACTTTTACTACGAGGTCTGTACCCTTCCACTAGATTGCTGTGATTTAGTTTTGGGAGTTCAGTGGCTCTGTACTTTGGGGCCTACATTTTGTGGGACTTTATGAACCAGCCAACAAACTTCTATTGCAAGAACCCCAGATTGTGATGCTTCAAATCAGGGAGTACGATGACTCACATTTTACTCCTGATATGATGCTCTCCCATTTGTCGGCAGGAGTGACTGATCCATCTATTGATAGTTCGTTGCAACCTCTCCTTAAAGAATTTAGTGATTTGTTCAAAACCCCTGATATCTTACCCCATTTTTGAGATGGTTTCGATCACCAAATTCCACATGAATTTGGCGCTAATCCTGTCAACCAACGCCCATATCGTTACTCATTGCAAACAGACAAAATTGAAAAAATAATGCAAGAAATGCTTTCTCAAAACATCATTCAGTATAGTAACAGTCCCTTTGCTTCACCTGTAGTCCTGGTTAAAAAGAAGGATGGTACATGGAGGTTATGCGTGCATTATAGGGGTCTAAACAAGCAAAAAAGTGAAGGACAACCATCCTATATCTTTACTCGAGGATATTCTTAATAAAATTGGGTGGTTCCAGGTACTTCTCAAAGCTATATCTTCGGGCTGGTTTCAACCAATTGCACATGAGTCCTGCTGACGTTTACAAGACAGCTTTCAAGACCTTCAGGCCATTACGAATATCTTGTCATGCCTTTTGGGCTGACAAACACTCCTTCAAATTTCCAAGGGTTGATGAACAATGTGTTTCGCTCTGTTGCTCGCAAGTTCATTCTCGTCTTCGTCGATGACATTTTAGTCTACAGCTCCACCTGGGAAGCTCACCTAGGGCATTTAGCAGAGGATTTCTCTATTCTACATGCCAATCAACTCTTTCTCTAGCCCTCGAAGTGCACTTTTGGTGCTACGGTCATCGAGTATTTAAGACATTTTATTTTTGCTGCAGGTGTGAGTACTGATCCCTCCAAGATCAGAAGTATCGCCGGTTTCTACTAATCAGAAGCAACTCATAAGCTTTTTGGGTTTGGCTAACTATTACCACAGATTTTCAAAGGGTACAATGTGGTGGCTCGCCCTCTCACCAAATTGCTTAAGAAGGCGGGGTTTACATGGGTTTTCAAGGCTACAACTGCCTTTGCGGCTCTTAAATCTGCCCTCACATCATCATCTGTTCTTGTCCTGCCTGACTTTGAGAAGACATTTGTTGTTGAAACCGACACTTCTAGTACATGCATTGGTGTGGTCCTAATGCAAGACAATCATCTGATTTGCTACATCAGCCGTGCACAAGGACCTCTTCACCAGTATTTTTTTTGTTTATGAGAAGGAACTTATGGCAGTAGTTCACGCTGTACAGACCTGGAACACTTACTTAGCTCATCGACCTTTTGTGATTAAAACTGATCAGAAGAGTGTCAAGTACCTCCTGGAACAAAAGGTCTCTACACCGTTCCAGTAAATGTGGCTCTCAAAACTCATGGGGTACTCGTATGAGATCCACTACAAACAAGGAAAGAAGAATCAGAAGAGTGTCAAGTACCTCCTGGAACAAAAGGTCTCTACACCGTTCCAGTAAATGTGGCTCTCAAAACTCATGGGGTACTTGTATGAGATCCACTACAAACAAGGAAAGGAGAATTATGCCGCGGATGCTCTCTCTCGTGTGTCTGGTTCAGAACTCTTACACATCTCTCTTTCACAAGCACATCAGAAGTTTTATGACTCACTACAGCTGTTGTGGGCAATCTAGAGGGCAATCCTAACTCACATCCGGTTTTTACATACAACAATGGCGAGTTACGCAGGAAAGAGAAGCTCGTTGTGGAGAACAACACAGATGTGAAGCTTCACATCTTAAAATGGTTACATGATTCAACAATAGGGGGACATTCAGGTCGTGATGCAACCCTACAAAGGGTGAAGTCTCTATTCTACTGGCCCAAAATGAGTTATGAGGTTCAGAATTATGTGAGGAACTGCGCCATCTGCCAAAAGAGCAAGTATGACTTGTTAGCTAAACCAGGTCTCTTAAACCCTTTACCTATTCCTCTTGGTGTATTGGAATCCATTAGTATGGATTTTATCGAGGAACTCCATCCATCTTCAGGCAACCATTGCATACTCGTGGTCATTGACAGGCTCAGTAAGTATGCCCATTTCTTGGCTCTGTCTCACCCGTACACTGCTCTGGAAGTAGCACAACTCTATTTGGATCAGGTGTTTAAGTTACTTGGGATGCCAAATGATATAATCAGTGATCGGGATCCAACCTTCCTTAGTGAAGTGTGGAAAGAGTTGTTTCCAACAGATCTTCTCTGCTCAACCAGACTCAGATTTCAACCTGGTAAACGACGTCCTTGACCCCCAAATAAGTGCAGAGACCAATGCTCGCCTTATACGGATCCCAGAACCCAAAGAAAATTTCGCAGCAGTGAAATCCATTCACACAAGCAAAGCCCCAGGTCCTGACGGGTTTTCCGCTGGCTTCTTCCATACATACTGGCCTATTATTGGACAGGATATTGTGAAAGTGGTCCAAGAATTCTTCGTCACAGATGCCTTCCCAACTCGGCAAAATAAGACCCATATTCGCCTTATTCCGAAGATTTTGAACCCGAGGAAAGTCTCTGATTACCGCCCGATAGCCCTTCGCAACGTCTACTATAAGATAATAGCAAAAATCTTGAAAAAGAGACTACAAACGTGTCTTTCCAGCCTTATTTCGGAAACCCAATCAGCTTTTGTTTCTAATCGAGCAATTTCAGATAACGTCTTGATAACTCATGAAACACTCCACTACCTTCGCACTTCGGAAGCAAAGAAAAGATGCTTCATGGCGGTCAAAACGGACATGAACAAGACATACGACAGAATCAAATGAGGTTTCCTGAAAGCTTTGCTCTTGCGATTGGGTTTTCATGATAAGTGGATCAAATGGATAATGGAATGTGTAACGACTGTATCATACTCTTTCCTCATTAACGGAGGGCCGCAGGGAAGAGTCCTTCCGCCCAAGGTTTACAGCAAGGAGACCCGTTATCTCCCTACATCTTCATCATGTGCACAGAAGTGTTAGCTGGTCTATGTCGCAAAGCACAGGAAGACGGATCACTAATCAGAATTTGAGTTTCGTGGAGCATCCACCACCTCCTGTTTGCAGACGACACAATGTTCTTCTGCAAATCAGAAGCCACCAGTTGCTGCACACTGTCCTCGATCCTTTGATGGTACGAATCTGCCTCCAGGAAACGTATAAACCTTGCTAAATCCTCCATTACGTTCTCAGATAAGACTCCCAGGACCCAGCATCTCACAGCTAGGAGAATCTTAAACATACACGTGCCACGAGTGTATGGGGATGAGAGATCAATTTTGCACCTATCATAGCCAAGAGAGCATCGTTAAAACGCTCAATGTCTCGAAAGCCTAAACCTCCAGCAT